TTTTTTTTTTAAGATTTTATTTATTTATTTGACAGCGAGAGAGGGAACACAAGCAAGGGGAGTGTGAGAGGGGAAGCAGGCTTCCCGCTGAGCAGGGAGCCCGATGCGGGGCTCGATCCCAGGACCCTGGGATCATCACCTGAGCCGAAGGCAGACACTTTAACGACTGAGCCCCTATATTTATTTAAACTTTTGACCATGTCCCAAATGTCTCTTATCATCTACTTTTTAAAAAAGATTTTATTATTTATTTTAGACAGAGAGAGCACAAGCAGGGAGGAGGACCAGAGGGAGAGGGAGAAGCAGACTCCCTGCTGAGCAGGGAGCCCAACACGGGGCTCAATCCGAGGACCCTGAGATCATGACCTGAGCCAAAGGCAGATGCTTAACCAACTGAGCCACCCAGGCGCCCCTCTTATCATCTGCTCTATTCTTTTTTTTTAATTTTATTTTGTTTAAATTCAATTAACATATAGTATATTATTAGTTTCAGAGGTAGAGTTCAGGGATTCATCAGTTGCATATAACACCCAGTGCTCACTACATCACGTGCCCTCCTTAATGCCCATCACCCAGTTACCCCATCCCTCCACCCACCTCCCTCCAGTAACCCTCAGTTTGTTTCCTATAGTTGAAAGTCTCTATGGTTTGTCTCCCTCTCTGATTTTGTCTTATTTGTCCCTCCTTCTCCCTATGATCCTCTGTTTTGTTTCTTAAATTACACATATAATTGAAATCATATGATAATTGTCTTTCTCTAATTGACTTAGCATAATACCCTGTAGTTCCATCCACAGCATTGCAAATGGTTAAGATCTCATTTTTTTTAATGACTGAGTAATATTCCATTGTGTATATATATACCACATCTTCTTTATCCATTCATCTATTGATGGACATTTTAGCTCTTTCCACAGTTCGTCTATTGTGGACATTGCTGTTATAAACAGTGGGGTGCAGGTGCCCCTTTGGATCACTACATTTGTATCTTTGGGTAAATACCTAGTAGTGCAATTACTGGATCATAGGGTAGCTCTATTTTTAACTTTAACAGAACTTCCATACTGTTTTCCAGAGTGGCTGTACCAGCTTGCATTCCCACCAACAGTGTAAGAGGGTTCCCCTTTCTCCACATCCTCGCTAACATTTATTGTTTCCTGACTTGTTAATTTTAGCCATTCTGACTGGTGTGAGGTGGTATCTCATTGTGGTTTTGATTTGTATTTCCCTGATGCTGAGTGATGTTGAGCATTTTTTCATGTGTCTGTTGGCCATTTGTATTTCTCCTTTGGAGAAATGTCTGTTCATGTCTTCTGCCCATTTCTTGACTGGATTATTTGTTCATTTGCTTTATTCTTTCCCTTCTTACTTCATTTGTGCTTCAATTTTGATATTTTCTAATGATGGCTTCACTAATCCTGACTTTTGCTTTGTCCAGTACATTGTTAAATCCATCCAAATAAGTTAATTCAAATATTGTATCTTTCAGTTCTAGGTTATCCATTTGACCCTTGTTCATAGATTCCAATATCCTGTTGAAATTCTCTATCTTTTCATCCATTTTATCCATCTTTCTCTATTTTATTTAATATACTAATCATAGTTATTTTAAAGCCTATCTGTTAGGTCCATTATCTGGATTATCTAAGGGTCTTCTATTTATGTTTGGTTTGTTGGCCATTTTCTTACTCTTTATTTTTTACTGTATGCCTAATGTGTTATATATAAGAACCACAGAAACTACAAATGATATTGTTATCAGAGAAAGTTCTTCTTTCTTCTGCTAGTCAGAAATGATTTGGAACTTATGATGTCAGTCCAATCAGAGACTGAGCTGGGTTGGGGCTGGGTTGTAGTTTTTATAAGTCAGTCCACCCCTGGTTCATGGCTGTCCTTCCAGGCTTTTGATCAAGAGCCTGGCAGAACTATCTCCTCAGCTGTGAAAGACTGCAAGAGAGTCAAGTCAGCCTCTGGAGGTTTTGAATTTAGACCATTGGCCTCCTACTCCACACAGCTCACAAAATAGCAAATGTCCTGAGGGTAGACAAATTGTGTATTTGTAGAAAGCCCTTCCCTATAGCAGGACTTTGTCCCCTAAGGACTCTAAGATTGTGGGAGATTTAACTTTAAATCTCCTTCTTAGGCTTTTATAACTTTAAAAGCCTATAGCCCAGTTCCCCAGCCTCCAGTACCATCATAAAGCTCAGCAAATGCCCATGGTGGAAAACTGGTCAGAAATTTGAGACTTCTTGAAGTTTTTAATGTGTTGTGCCAACCACAACCACATAACCAAAAGTTCTGCTAGTTTCTCTTTTCCCTAGAAGACCCCCTTTTTCTGGCCAATCCCAATTTTCAGCCCATGCTCAAAACTGACAAATGTCTCTAGCGATGAAGAAAGCCAGATCATCAACTCATCTAGAATGAACTCTTTCCAGTCTGGAATTTTTTTTTTTTAAAGATTTTATTTATTTATTTGACAGAGAGAGAGGGAACACAAGCAGGGGGAGTGGGAGAGGGAGAAGCAGGCTTCCTGCTGAGCTGGGAGCCAGATGCGGGGCTCGATCCCAGGACCCCGGGATCATGACCTGAGCCGAAGGCAGACGCTTAACAACTGAGCCACCCAGGCGCCCTCCAGTCTGGAATTTTAATATTATTGCTCCCACAGCTGTCCAGTGACTTTAAACATGATTTTTGCAATGATTTGTTGTTTTCCCCCCCTAGTTAACTAGTTACAGTAGGAGCATTGGCCTAATATGACCTATTGCATCCTCCTTAGAACTGGAAGTCCCACTCCCCTCAAATGTGAAACTTCCTACATCACTTACTGCTCCTTTCAGTCTTTTTTTTTTTTTCTGACCTCCTCTTTCATGACCTCCAGGGCTGGTTGCTTAGACTTCTCTATCCTCACTTTCCCTAAGTGGCCTCATTCAATTGCAGTGGTATTGAATACTGTCTCTACACCTTGCATCTGCAGCCCTTACCTCTTCCAATTTCCAAGTTTGTAAATCTAACTGCATTGTTTATATCTCCAGTTGGATGCTGAAGAGACATCTCAAATTTAGGATGGTTAAATCATGGCTGACACCCACCCCTCCCCATCCACGCCTCTCCATTCCTCAGTCACATTTCCTCATCCTTTCCTCTTTCCCATATCCCCATATCCAATCCATTAGTAAATATTTCTGATGTCTGCCTCCAAAATGGATGCTGAATCGACCAATTCTCATGTCTATTGCTAAAAACCTGGTCTCAGGGGCGCCTTGGTGGCTCCATTGGTTAAGGGTCTGCCTTCGGCTCAGGTCATGATCCCACAGTCCCAGGATCAAGCCCCGCATGGGGCTTCCTGCTCAGCGGGGAGTCTGCTTCTCCTTCTGCCCCTCCTCCTGCTCATGCTCTCACCCTCTCAAATAAATAAAAACTAAAAAAATATATAAAAAATAAGGGATGCCTGGGTGGCTCAGTCAGTTAATCATCTCGCTTCGGCTCAGGTCATGATCCTAGGGTCTTGGGATCAAGTCCCGAGTTGGGCTCCCTGTTCAGCAGAGAGCCTGCTTCTCCCTCTGCCTGCCATTCCCCCTGCTTGTGCTCTCTCTCTCTCTGGCAAATAAACAAAATCTTTAAAAAGAAATAAAAATAAAAAATAAACACCTGGTCTCAGTCATCTTCATCTCTTGCCCAGGCTACTAGTAGTTCCAACCCTTTCCTTCACCTCCAACCTGCCCACCTGTCAATTCATCTTCACGGCAACCGGTGTGATTGCCAGTTTCTAAAGTTAAATCAAATCACATCACTCTCCTTCCTTGCACAAAACTTTCTAAGGGCTTCTCTATTGTTAGAATAAGACTCAAACTCTATTTATAGGATCTATGTGATCTGGCCCCTGCCTACATCTTGGACCTTACCTCCTTTCACTTCCCTGCATATCTTGTATACCACCCACCCTGGTGGGCCATACACAAATCATTCCAATTTCAGTGTTCTTCATTTCATCGTTCTGGTGTTAATACAAATGCCACCTCCTAGAGAGGTCTTCCCTGACTCTTCCATCTAAATGAGCCCCTCCCTTCACCACCATCACTCCCTATTACATTACTCCATTTAATTAACTGCACTTAGCAACATCTAAAGTCCTTTAAAAAAATACGTATTTATTGTCTGCCTTCCCCACCAGGATTTAAGCTCTTCGAGGGCAGGGTCTTGTTCTGTCTTGTTCACTGCCATATCCAGAGAATCTAGCACATAGTAGATATTTAGTGCCCTTGTTGAATGACTCCATTAGATCATAACCATCTTGGGAGCAGAAACGGTGATCTAATTTTGGTTTTCCTCTTCCTGCACCTAACAGTAGTGTGCACATTGTGGAGACAATGTTAAATAAGATGGGTGGATCCACCCTCTCTAGTGAAGTGTTAAAGATAAGCCTCTTCTGATTGCCCCATCATTGCAATTCCTCTGGACATTACTGATCAGGCAAACACATTGCTAAACCAAAATGCGGGCAGTCCTGGCCTCCATCCCATACCCCAAGTCATGAATGGGAAAAGCATTCTTAGAGCTGTCATTGCTCAATGCTATTGGTACATGCCACTGCTGAAGATAGAAAGGAAATACAGAAAAGAGCAAAAGGGTTATGGTTTGGTGTTTCTCTTACTATAGTATCCAAAACATAATTGTTTTAATAGTATTAAATCCCTGGGAGGCAAATCTTCTAAAGACTTTAACAGTTTCTAAACTCTAAGTAATTAAGCTTAACTACAGATCCATCAATGACACGTCTTAGCACATTTTACAAGCTGTGAACCATGAAATCAATGTAGTATTTTCATTGCTAAACTTTGTTTTAATGAGATCACAGAAAATATCAGCATGCACTACAGTAGTAGGGTAAATTTTCGTGAGCACACCCACAAACTTACACGTATGTGTAGGTACTAGGTGGTGCTACAAAATGTATTTCTTACTGTGGTCAATGTTTTCAAGAGTAAGGAAGTACTAAAGTATTAGTTTCACATATCTTTATTCCATATAAACAAAACAAAACTTGGACCCATCTCATAGAACAGAATACACTTATTTAAGGTTTTGACAGTGTACAAAATTAAAATTTGGGTGTTTAATCCAAAGTCTCACATAAGTATTATCTTGTAAGGCAATTTCTTTCCTTTAATAAGTAAAATTTTAAAGTGTATATTATTCGGGAAGCAAATCATCTCCTAATTCTTCATCAGCAAAATCATCCTCGTCGATTCTTTTTTTGGCTGCAGTTTTTGGTCTTTCTATTTGAGGGCCAAGTGGATCCACATAGGAGGCATCTAGGTTTCAAAATAGATTGTTGTATTAGAATAATAAAGAAAAACAACAAATGTGAAACCAATTTGTCTCATAAGCTAAACTGAACAACTGAGTGAACAGAAATGTTCTCCGAAGTCATTTAAAATTTTGTCTGTATATAAAAAATTCTTAATGCCCAATTATACATTTTTGCCATCTCACCAAATCTTCTCCAGACCTGTTATGCCTGTGGAAACGGGTGGGGAACACCAGCACTTGCCTATTTCTTTGTTACTGCTACTTTCATAAGGTTCGTTTGTCCCAGGCAAAGCTCTGAGTTTGGCACTTAGTCGTTCACCTTTACTACTGGCACTACAGTTCTGGCCACTATCTGAAAACACAAAGATAAAAATGCATTTGTTTAATAGGTTGAAAAAACATAACACTACATTATGAATCTTAAAGTATACTTATTTGCCAAAAAACAGGTTATTTCATTTGGAAGCCAACTTCTGAGGGATATAATTCTTGTTTCCTGAAACTTAAAAGAAACCTCTTGTTGAGAATCTATAACATAGATAAAACATCACCTAAAAGTAGTCTTTATATGTAGTCTTTCACATGTATGCTTAGTTACAGGTTTCAATTTTATAGATTCGCTGGTGAGAAGTTAGAGACCATGTTGATGAGTATAACCTAGCAAAGAACAAAGAGCAGCTGGAGAAAGAACAAATAGGAAGTCATAAGATCAGCATGAGCCGTATCATCAACCTCATTATCAAGGCTGGTGAGTAGCCCTAAAATCACATCAAATGAGAAACAGCAGAAGAGGTAGGAGAGGACCTAGATCATATAATTACTTTCTTTAAACATTCAGAAAATGTTCATGTAGGAGAGGATTAGATTTGCCCTCTATAGAATAGATTTTGGCTCAGTATGAGGAAAAACTTTAAGAGGATTATAGCATCCCAATATGGGCTGGCTGCCTTGGAAACACTGCAATCCATATCATGGAAGATTTTCAGACAGGGTTGAACACTCACATTAATAGGAAACATTAGTAGTACTTCTCAACGTTAAATTTCCATTATATTTTTTTAAATAAACACTCCTCTAGCCCCACATTTTTTCTTTCCCTTAAAATTCCCACAATGTCATTTTTTCCTATTATGGGAGCTTCACTTTTAAAGAAAATTGTCTATCAACATATACCAATCATTTCTTTTCTGAGTTTATTTTATATTTTAGTTTATTGATAATGTCTCTGGGAATAAACAAAACAAGATGGTCTTTAAAATCCCCAAATTTTAACGGTAGCCAACTGAGCAAAAATTCTAAGTTCTAAGTTTTTAGAAAAAACATTACCATTTCCTCCCAATAATATCCTTAGTTTTAGGCACTGAATGGTATGTTTTTTATTGTTTTGCTCCTCTCTGATTTTTTGTTACAATTAGGCCCCTCTTTTCCGTCTCTAAGTGTAAATGCGTATCTTTCAAAGGGCTTGAGTGAGCTCAGGTCAAAAAGTTTTGACCTAGACCATTGATTGCTCTAGGCAGTATTTCTTTTTTCACTTTTCATATAGATATAGGTTACCTATATGAATAAAACAAAACTCTGACATCTCTCTCAGGCAACCACAGCCCTTCTGAAATCCTAACATATTGAAGGATTCCACTCCTGTGGAAAAAGCAAACTTTAAAAAATAAAAACTGACCTCCTTAGAAAAACTTCAAATGGGGCGCCTGGGTGGCTCAGATGGTTAAACGTCTGCCTTCAGCTCAGGTCATGATCCCAGGGTCCTGGGATCGAGCCCCACATCGGGCTCCTGGCTCAGCGAGGAGCCTGCTTCTCCCTCTCCCTCTGCCTCTCTCCCTGCTCATGCTTTCTCTCTCTCTCTCTGTATCTCTGTGTCTCAAATGAATAAATAAAATCTTTAAAGAAAAAAAAAAAAACTTCAAATGTCCAATTGAAAAGCCATGAATATAGTTTTTAAACATTTTCTATTATAAATACCAGTGAGGGTATATTGTGAATATCTTCATTTCATCATTTTCAATCAACTGTCATGGAATAACACTGCCATACATGGGCAGGTGTAAATGGATCAATAAGCATTTGTAAGTCTGGGTGAGTTTTATGCCTAAATAATGAAACAAGTTATTATATTCATTTCATTATAGCAAAAAAAAAAAAAAAACAATTACTATTTCCTAGAGAAAAGTTAAAATATCAAGTAGCTTCCAAAAACAAGAATCTGGAGATCAATTTATCTGAATTATCAATCAATTAACACTAAAACTTACAAATGACACTTTTATAAGAGAAATATCTTAGAATCATAGAATTTAGAGTAATACGGATTCTTGAAACTTATGTATACCAGAAAATAAAGAATACCCCTATGAAATGGACAATGTATATAGACAATTCCCAAAGTAAACAGTACAACTGGTCAATAAATATATAAAAATATTTAAACTTTGTATATTTAAAGTGAAAAAAATCAAGACAGAACACTACATACTGAGTGATACCATTTTTAGAAAGCTTAAAAACAAGCAAAATTAAAAAGTTTGCATACATGATAAAATTGTATGTGAAAAGGCGAGAAACTAAAAAAATATAAACCTGCATATAAACATAAAAAAAAAAAATCTCACAGTGGTTACCTGTGGGAAAGGCAGGAGATGGAGTGGAAAAAAGCACATAGGTAGGCATAGCAGTAATGTTCTGGTTCTAATGTTTGATGGCTTCATTAATTTTATATGCTTTGTAACTTAAGAGTGCTACATTGATTCTCTTGTAGGTATCAAGTATTACATAATTTAAACCTTCACGTAATTCAAAATGTAAGATTCAACACTGCCTATTAAAATGGCCAACATTTGGGACGCCTGGGTGGCTCAGTCGGTTGAGTGGCTGCCTTCGGCTCAGGTTGTGATCCTGGAGTCCTGGGATCGAGCTCCATGTCGGGCTCCCTGCTCAGCAGAGAGACTGCTTCTCCCTCTGCTCCTCACCTCGCTCACTCTCTTTCTCGCTCTCTTGCACTCTCAATAAATAAAAAAATCTTAAAAAGTAAAATAAAATAAAATGTCCAAGATTTTAAAAATATCAGGTAAGTGAAATGAACAAACTTTGAGATTAATGTGGTAGTATATATCAACACTTAATTTTGTGGTCACCAAGATAGCAGAATAGAAAGCCCTAGAACGTTTTTCCTCACAAAGATACCAATTTGACAATATACAGTCCAAAAAACCTTTATCAGAACTCCAGAAACCAGTTAGGAAGTTGCAAGTACCCCAGATAAACTCAAATCCAAGAACAATTGCACTGAACCGGGTAAGAAAAGCCATTTGATTTCAACTGCGTCAGCCCCTATCACAAGCCAGCATAACTCACGATTGGGAGAAAAAGCCAATGCAGATTCTCCCTTGGGAAGGAAAAAGAAGAGTGGAACATACATCCAACATTTTGGTTTTTCAGGGAACTGCCTGAGAGACTGGCTTGTTTTGCCTGACTTGGAGTGCTGATGAAGAACCAACACACTCTGGTTGGGGGTTTGCTGCAGTGCCAGAGTACCTTCCCGCACTGCACACAGAAGCTAGCACAGCTTGCTGTGATCAGGGGAAGTATCCAGCGCCTGGCTTCTTCCTGAGCAAGGAATGATTCCAGTGGGATGTACATCCAATAGTCCAGCTTTTGATGGTGGTGGTGGTGGGGATTCCCAAGGGCCTGGTCTCACCTGACTCACAGCACTAATGGGGAATTGGCACATTTTGGATGCATGGGGGCTGCCGAGAGCAAAACAGGACTCAGTAGCTTACTGCAGTGCTAGAGATCCTGAAGCACCACAGACACCAGAGGAAGCAAGAGATTACAAATCTTTAAACCTCTCTAATTGGGAAATTACATATAGAAGCTGAGAGAAAGTGCATATCATAAAAACTCTGAGAAACTCCCATAGTCTCTAGTGGGGCTGACTTGTGACAGTTTCCCCTGTACAAAGCCAGCCCCCCAAAACCAGAGAAAAGTGGCTTTTTTCAAATGAAGAAATCACAAGAAACATGAAAACATGGCCAAGTGACAGAAAGAAAACAAATCTTCAGAAATTGACCCTCAGGAAATGGAGACCTATTGATTACCTGACAAAAAATTCAAAATAATTGTCTTAAACAAGCTCAATGTGCTATAAGAGAACATAGACAATAAATAAAATCAGGAAAATGAAGCATGAATGAAAGTAAACTATCAACAGAGATAGAAACTAAAAAAGGGCCAAACAGAAATCCTGAGGCTGAAGAATACAATAACTGGATTGAAAAATTCACCATAAGGTTTCGAAAACAGACGTGATCAGGCAGAATAAAGGATCTGTGAACTCAGAGATAGGTCATTTGAAATTACTATATCAGAAAAACAAAAAGAAAACAGAATGAAGAAAAGTAAAGAAAGCCTAAGAGAATTATGGGATATAATTCAGATTTGGGGACTAAACATATCAATATACATATTACGGGAATCCCAGAAAGAGAAGAGAGAAAGAATGGGGCAGAGAGACTATTGCAAGAAATAATGGATGAAAACTTCCCATATATGAGAAAGGAAATGACTATCCAAATTCAAGAACTCAAGGAACTCCAAGTAGGATGGACCTAAAAAGGTGCACACTGAGACACATTATAATCAAACTGAAAATTCAAAGACAAAGAATCTTAAAAATGAGCAAGAGAAAAGCTAATTCATCATAAACAAGGGAGCTAGCATACAATGATGAGCTTTCACAGCAGAAACATTACAGGCTACAAGAGAGCGGGATGATATCTTCAAAGTGCTGGAAGAAAACTATGCCAACCAAGAATACTGTATTTGGCAAAACTGTCCTTCAAAAAGGATGGAGAAGTAGACTTTCCTGGATAAAACAAAAGCTGGGGGAGTTTATCACCACTAGACCTGCCCTGCATGAATTGCTAAACAGAATCCTTCAAGTTGAAACAAAAGGGACACTAGACTGTAAGAGAAAAATCATATGAAAATATAAAGCTCTCTGTAAAGGTAAATATAGAGATAAACACAGAATCCAGTAATACTGTCGTGGTAGTACATAAATCACTTTTAATTCAAGTATAGAATATAAATGATAAAAGCATAAAAATAACTATAGCTATAAAATGATGTTAATGAATACAAATGATAAAAAGATGTAATTTCTAACATTGATAACACAGTGTTGGGGCAATGGAGTTAAGTTTTTGTACGTGATTTAAGTTGTTATTAGTTTAAAATAGATTGTTTTAACTATAGGATCTTTTATGTAATTCCCATGGTAACCACAAAGAAAATACCTACCGAAGATGCACAGAAGAAAATGAGAAAGGATTCAAAGTATGC